CTCTTGATTTTGCAATCCAAGCCAAATTTTTGGCTAGGCCTATTGCCCTCCTAACTCTGATCATTTGATATCTGCCCTATTCTCTTCATGATCTGCCTTCTCTTGCATATTTCTGCAGATAGGGGCATCAGGGTAGTTTAAATGAAAGTATGTGTTATCTAGAAACCTTAATCAGCCCTTGGTTTCAGTCTCATTCAGCAAAAATTTTACTAGAGATACTAATCACTTCTACTTTCTGTCATTTCTGTTGAAGATGCTGACAATGAAAAGGAGGTACTGGAAAAAATTAAGCATTTTATTGTAAATAATTCTCCCTCACAAATGGTCAGAATGAGCCATCTCTCTATTCCCCCTCCCCATTCCTTCCCTGTCTTGCCTCAGACAATAATTTTGCAGTCTTGTCCCTCTTGCTTGCTGGGAGACTTTAAAACTTGGCCTGGATGGCTTTGGGGACTCTCATCTATTGAAGCAGCCCCCATTGCCCTGAGTGATACAGTCAAATGAAGGAGGAAGCCGCCGCTTCAATGAGACACTGCTTCTGTTGCTCAAATATTTTTGCAATTAGCAGTAATGATGGGAATAGAAGTACTGGGGAGATTGGGTCGCTTGTTTTTTGTGCCTTTCCTTTCAGAGTGAATGGCTCCAGAGGTGAGCAGAGGGCGTCAGTGGCTCTTTAAAAGACTGTTGGGCTTTGGAAACCTTCCTGCTCCCCAGACTTGTTGAGGCTGCCCTGTCAGGAATGAATAGAACTAAAGTGGCTGGTTCTCAGGGGCTTGTAATTTAAGGCACCAAGAGGCTTCATGGGTAGTGTAGAGGAAGGGGACCTGGTGGGGGGTTGGGGGAAGGCAGAGAGGGCAAGAGGAGGCTTTCTCTCCGGCTTCCTCCCTTAGCTGCTTATCACCAGCTGCCAAGATGAGGCCTTCGTTTTAGGGATAATCTTAATATTTGATGAAGTTCTGTTAGGACCAGCTGAAACATTTTACTTGTGTCCATTCCCTCTCCTCTAGTCACATGGGCATCACCCTAGTTAGGTCCTCATGACCTCTCACCTGGACTATTATAATAGCTTTCTAACTTGTCTTCTTGGCTACGGTGTCTCCTGTCTAATATGTCCTTTATGGCAGTCCAGATAATACTTTTATTGTGGTAGTCAAGTCACATTATTCCTATGCATAGAAACCTTCATTGACTCTATTGTTGACTGAATAAAATATTGTATAAAAATCTTTATTTAGGGGCAGCTAGGTGGCACAGTGGATAGAGCTCCGGCCTTGGAGTCAGAAGGACCTGAGTTCAAATCCAACCTCAGACACATAGTAGCTGTGTGACCCTGGGCAAGTCACTTAACCCAGATTGCCTCACCCCCCAAAAAAATCTTTAGCCTGGTATTTAAGACACTCTACAATCTGACACAGTTCAGTGGAGAGGGAATTGGTTTTGGAGTCTGAAGAACTGGGTGAAAACTCTGCCACTCAGTATCAGTGTGATTGTGAGGAAATCATGTTACTACTCCAGGCCACAGACTTCTCATACATAAAATAAGAGGGTCGGACTAGATAAGTAGTGTTAAAATCAAATTTGAACAGAGGCCATTAATCCATACGTGAGGATTCCTGATGGCTGCATATTTAAAATGTGATATCATCTATGTTTCATTGTATTTTTACTTATTTTTTTAAAATATTTCCCAATTACACAGGGGCATTTAGGTGGCATGGTTGTTAGAGTGCCACGCTTTGAGTCAGGAAGACTCTCCTTGGGGGTTCAAATCTGGCCTCAAAAATTTACTATTTTTGTGACCTGGGTCAGTCACTTCACCCTGTTTGCCTCAGTTTCCTCATTTGTAAAATGATCTGGAGAAGGAAATGGCAAATGACTTCAGTATTTTTGCCAAGAAAACCTCAAACGGGATCATGAAGAGTCAGACAACTGAAAAAGACGGGAGAAAAATTACATTTTGATCTAGTTTGGGTGGCACTCGTTAGTATTATGAGCCACATGAGACTCACAGGCCATGTGTGTCTGGAGCAGATCATGTCTAAGGCCCCTAAGCCTATGATTCTACTATTTCAGCATTCTCTCACACGAACCTCCTTTATGTACTCAATGCAGCTCATCTTGCCTGGAATCATTTCCTCTCACCCTCATCTGATGCAGGTGAAGGAGCCACATCCTTCATTAACGTTTTCCTGATCTTCCTAGCTGTTAATTACATCTTCCTCCAGTTTGTCATAGGATTCTTTATCTCTCCTTTGCATTTAATCCCTCCTTTACATGGTATTGGAGCTATTTATGTAAAAATCATATTTCATATTAGACTGTAAGCTCCCCAAGGTCAAGGTCTGTTGTTTGTGTGTATGTGTTTAATCTTTGTATCCTCTTACTAGTCCAGTTTCTTGCATATAGTAGATACTTAATAAGTGTTATTGAAATGAACTTAATATTAGATTACCCAATGACTTTTCTTGTCTAAGAAGATGAAATGTGATGTGGTTGAATAGAAAGTCCTACACATAGATTCAAAGCATGAAGTACATGCAGACTGGATGGAGGAAATGTGACTAGAGGGCAAGCAGTTTATGTGAAAAAGGCTTGGGGGAGGGGGTTAGGATGCTTGATGCTCCAAACTCTTAAGCAGGGTATTGGTAGTGGTAGTGGTAACTCATGTGACCTTCATTAAAAGACACATAAAATCTTATGCATGTGCACTTAGCCAGTATGAGGCAATGGTGAGGTGAGATGAGATGTGCTTTATAAACAGAGGAGGCCTACAGAGTATATACAAACAAGGGGCAGTCTTAAATGCCTTGTGCTTCTTTGTCATTTTAAAGGAATTAGGCTATTTTTATGAAATGTGCTAGGGGATAGATTTCACTTCATCATGTACTGTCACAGAGATATAGAAAAAATATGACATAGTCCTAGGTTGTTAAAGAGCCTATAACCTATTGGGGAGATAAGAGATACATGTAACAAGACGATAAATGTAACAAAAACTACCAGGTATATATAATGAGTGCTAAATGAATGATTCAGAAATCAATGGTATAAACATCCATAGGAAGAAAATCACAGTGGGCTAGGTTGGCTTAAGAATGGATGAGTAAGTTGGCTATCAAAGTGGATAGAGTGGTGGAGTAAGGAAGACCTGAGCTCAAATCTTTCCTTGAACAGTTACTAGCTGTGTGACCCTGGGCAAGTCACTTAACTTCTCTCAGCCTTAGTTTCTTCATTTGCAAAACAGAGATAATAATAAGCCCCATGTCTCTGGCTTGTTATATCAAATGAGATATTTGTAAAATGCTTTGCAAACCTTGAAGTACTATGTAAATGTTAGCTATTTTTATCATTACTATCTCTAATTATTATTAAAATTCTTTTTATAATTAATAACCATAAATAGATGGGGAGGAAGAAAAACATTAGGGAATGGAGTAAGCAAATATGCATAGGTGAGAAAGGATCAAGCCTGCCTGGGAAACAGTGAGGAAAGCAGTTTGACCAGATCATACATTTCATATAGGAAGATTGTGGATGAGAGAATATTGGGAAGGTAAGTTGAAGACAGGTTATGCACATGCCTTCAATGCCACTCTCAAATGTTTGTTATTTAACCTATGGGTAATGAAGAGCCACTGAAGGAATTTTAAGTGAAAAACAATTTGACTAAAAAGATAATTAAAAAAATTTTTTTTTAAAAATCAGAAACATTTTATTGAACATATTTGAGGAGGTAAGACAAAAAGTGACCATGGCTATTCATTCAATAAATTTTGCTGTGTCTAACATATTCAAAAGATAGAACAATTAGTAGGCCATTTCAGTAGAATAGGCATGAGGTTATAAAACCTTGGATTAGGGTGACTATGGTAGAGTAGAAATGAAGGGATGGAAATGAGGAATTTTACAAAAGAAAAAAGCAACATAGTTTGGCAACAGATTGGATATGGATGGCAAGAGAGGAAAGAGTCAAAAACCACTTTGACGGTTTTAAGCCGAGGTCTCTGGGAGAATAATTGGAAGCTAACTTTAGAGACGGGAAGATCTGGGGTCAAGTTCTGCTTCTCGTAGATATGGGTTAGAGATGGCAGCTCAGAGATATTTTAACTTTTATTATTGCTAATTTTAAAGGTTTTTTTAAAAATGGTTCTTGATAGCTTTCATTTCTTCATTTCTGAATTGCTTGTTCATATCCTTTCATAGTTATCTATTAGGGAAATGATTCTTGAAGATTTTTTTTTTCTGCAAAGTAAATTCATTTCCTTTTGTTCCAGTGTCCATAAAAATGGAGAGGAAGTGATCATTGGGAGGAAGCATCTGTAGAAAAGATAGAGCTACACTGTCCTTTCTATGATAAAATATTGCACATTCATGGAGTGCAAGTTCTGGAAAGAATCCCCCTTGCTATTAAGTGTAGCAAGTCCTCGCATTCTCCAAAGGCAAATCCCACCTACAATATTTTCTATGTCACTCTGGACTTTAGTTTATTCATCTGTAAATAAGAGGTTGAGCTAGATGATTTCTGAGGTCTTCTAGATCTAATAGTCTGTAGTACTATTATATTATTCTAGCCAAGTTAGCTACTGGTGAATTCAAAACTTGCCATATAAGCCATCTAGGTCACAGTGATTCCTCCCATCTTTGAACTCCCATTGCATTTATAATTGAGCCATTCAGTACTGATTCTCTAATTATTTCATGTGGATTAGCTTTGTATTCTCAATTAGATCCTTGGGGGAAGATACCATACTTTATACTTCTTTTTATACCCCACAGAATCTAAAACCAAACTTGGAATCTAACAGGAATTCAATAAATACTTGTTGATTGAAAGTGAGGGCAGGTTTTGAGTATACAAACTTTCTAGTCTACTCTCCCTACCACCTTCTAGTTTTCATTTCATTTTTTCGAGGAATTGTACACTGGGCATTTCTATGTTGCCTGCCCCTTTCCCATTCTTTTGGCTTCTTCTTTATGGAAATGCTTTGTTTCTTGCGCAGGTCCTTCTGAATTATTGGATATGACAGATAGTGAAACGTGAGTATTCATCCAGCATTCTATGGCTTTTGGGTTTCTCTTTGGAATATGGTTGGAAAAATGAAGGAGAGAGCAGTCTGTAAGGTCTGAAAGGGATGCTTAGATACTAAGTGTCCACTGCCTGCTCTTTTTAAATGTCCATGTACAAAATCTACATTATGTTGTGAGAAGGTAGCATGTCATATCATAGAATACTAGACTTCAAATCTGGACTACCTGGGTTTAAATTCTAACTTGATACTTATTAGTAATGTGACCATGGGCAGGCCATTTAACCTTTCTGTGGCTCAGACAATTCCCTAAAACTTATCTACTAAGTTATGGATGGGTTGGGATATATATTGGTGGAGAGAATTCCCATAAAATCACACATCCAAGACCTATTGTGAATACAGGTCTATTTGTCTATCTATGTTATGTACAGGTTTCCCTGTACATGCACACAATGATACAATGATTCACACAAAGGTAGTACAGTTCATTAGACTAGGAATCAGATGTCACTCCTGGCATAGATGTTAATCTTTTTTGTACCCTGGTCTATCACATAATGCCCAGGACTGTGTTTCAACTAGCTAAGCATCATGTGCCCAACAGAGACAGAAACTTCTGGGCAGTGGTCTCTATAGCTGAAATTGGGTCCAGATGGCATGCCCACATGGAGAAATTAGGCAGAAACCTGAAAAAAGAATGATGGTCTAAGCTAAAACATTAGTCCAGGGATAGAAATATAAGACAAGATGGATTTAAAGGAACACATTCGTCTCAGCAATCTCTGGGTCCTATAATTTGGGTTTTCTCTCATAAACCTCATCTGTCAGCACACAAGCAGGCCAAAATCGAATCAATGTATCACAGAATTTTTAGAGCTGGAAAGAACCTCAGAGATATGCTTTAACATCTATGTTTTAATAGAGTGAAAATGAGGTATAGTAAGAAAAAGCATTGGTCTTTACCTTCGAATCTGGAGTACTTGGGTTTGAATCCTACCTGGAACATTGATTAATGGAGTGATTCTGACAAGTCATTCAAGTGAGCCACAGTTGATTCTTCTGTAAAATCTGGGTAATAATAGCTCATTTCTGGAGAGTTAGAGCTGGAAGGGACTTAAGAAGCCATATAGTCTAAATCCCTTATTCTACAGATGAAGAAAAAGCCCAGAGAGGATATGGGATTTGCCTAAGCTCAGACAGGTACTTAACAGTCAAAGATGGGATTTGAACACTTGTCCTCTGATGCCTAAACCGATGTTCTTTCCACTGGACTAAGCCAAGGCTACTTCACATTTGTAGTATCCATTGCAACTTTCAAAGGGCTTTCACATGCATTATATCCTTGGAGCCACCCAACAATTCTGCTGTTTACTACATGGGCAACCATGGGCAAGTCATTTCTCCCCTTTAAGCCTCTGTTCCCTCATCTGTAAAATGAGGTCAGACCAGATTTTCCTTAAGATTCCTTCCAACTCTAAAGCTGTGATTCTCATTTTATAGATGAGAGAGCAGAGGTCCAGAGACATTAAGGAAGCCAAGCGAATAAGTTCTAAACTTGTCAGAGCCAGAGTCCTTCAATCCAATGTCTCTGTACCTAGTCCAGAGGCTTCCTTACGATATGTTGCCTCCGTAGGAAACATGGAGATTTGTTATTAATAAAGAAATAATAATAAATTTATGTAATAAATACATAAATTTTCAACCACTGGGCCCAGTTGACTAATACCATTTTGGAAAAAGAAGAGAGAGAGAGAAAGAGAGAGGCTGATGTTAGATATTGTGCCTGTTTGAGCTAGTCATAAAAGAAACGCTATGGATTGACCAACTTAAGTGATTTTCAGCCTTCCCCAAATGTCATTTCACCACTTAGAGTGAAAAGGGGTGGTTGAGAACAGAGTATCTGGAGCAAAGTAGGGTTTTCCCCTCCATAGTTAAAGTTCCTCACTGCAAGTTTCTTCTCTGGTCTTGATTTAGGGGAGAGACAGCATTGCATAAGGCTGCCTGCCAGCGGAACCGGGCTGTCTGCCAACTCCTGGTGGATGCAGGGGCATCTCTGAGAAAGAGGGATTCCAAGGTAACCTGATGAGTGAGTGGAAACATTCTCCTAACTGGGCACAGCCACTGGCACTGTAGCCTTCACTTGTGCACATAGCTAGGGCATCCTTTCTATGCTTATGGCAGTGCCTGGAGCTTTGGGAAAAAAAGGAGGAAAAAATAAAGTGCTTTATTTAGAGAAACTGCAGTTTAAATCTGTAACAACAAAGAAAGGGTGTGTGTTTGCGTAGGTATATTTATAAATCTCCATGTGTGCCTGGCTTTATTTTGGCTAGTCTATTACCTTGGCTAAAGCCTTGGCAGCCAGGCTATGGGGGAAGAAGATGTCTAATGTCCAAGTATGGAAATCAGGGTCATTCTAGTATGGTGATGGCATGGGTATGGAGTACTATTACCCTTCAGGGTTGTAGAAGGGAGCATGGGAAGGGAGGCAGAGGAATGTGAGTCATCCTTCAACCCAATATTTATGTGCTACAGTGTTCATGGTACCATACAATATGGCAGGGAGTTACAATAAGTGACATAGAATTTAAGTTCATTCAGCATGCTCTTATTAATTGACTGTTATATGCAAGACATGGTACAGTGGGTTGAAAAAGTGATCATCTTTTCCCTAAAGGACTTTATATTCTATTCAAGTGTGTGTGTGTGTGTGTGTGTGTGTGTGTGTGTGTGTGTGTGTGTGTGTGTGTGTGTAGAGAGAGGGATAGATAGAAAATAGACATAGATAAATAAATACAAAGTAATTCTTGGGTGGGAACTGGGGGGAGATAAAATTCATTGGCCAAAAGAGTGGCCCAAATAGTGAAGGTCAATACTAAATAATAATCCCTGTGTGGTGATTTATAACATTCAAGAGACATAACTTCTGGGTAATTCAGTCGTTATATTAATAATGCCAGCATTTTAATCAAAGTTTGGTCATTTGGCTGTCTCTCTTAGACTACCGACAGTCATGGAGGCAGGCCCATGGTTTATATGCCCATTGGAAGAGGGATGTCCCTGAGGGTGGTAGTCAACTCTGATTGTTTAACAGTTAATGAGAGAGTGAATATTACAATGAGGGGCTGGACCTGAGCTTTGATTATGTCATTTACTTCTAAGTTAGCCCCAGCTTTGGGCAATCTATTCAAAGAATTTATTCCCATCCAAACCTAAGTGGAACTCAATGAGTGCCCCACATGGGTGGGGTCTGGATAGAGGAAAAGGTTAGCTTAACTTTCAGAGACTAAGGTCTTGAAATAAGGATAAAATAAAAAAGGGGAAATCTGAATCTCCCAGATCATTGGTTATTAATAATCATTTCTCTCACCTTGCATGTATGAGCAGTTAATTTTTTTTTCAAAATGTTTGCCCATCTTTAATTTCTTTTGATTTCTACACTAATTCTATGAGCTAGGTGGGGTGTATATTGTCATCTCTATTTTACAGGTGAGGAAAATGAGACATAGATTGAATTCCCAAAGTCACATGTATAATAGCAGTAGAGGTAGGACCAGAAGCTAACTTTAGAGATTTCTAGATCCAGCAAAGTTAGTATAGGAGAAACAGGACCGGATTTGAGGTAAGAGGACCGAGGTTTAAATCCTACCCCTGCTATTTACTACCTGTGTGTCCTTGGGTAAGTCATGGAACCTCTTTGGGCTTCAAACAATCACCTATAAAATGAGTGTGTGATGACCTTTCAGCTCTAAATCCATGATCCTCTAAAGCTTTCAAGGGAACAAGTTGAGTTTTTGTTTGCATTGTGGTAGTGAGTGTGGGGAAGATCTGGAATATTGGGGTATTCATTGATGGAAAGAAAGACCAGCATTCAGTAGCTCAAGCAGAGCCCTAGTCATCTAATGAGATAGTTAGGTAGTTGGGGGAGGGTGCCAACCTGTGAAGGAGTACTGACCCCACCCTAAGTATGAGTGTGGCTATAAAATAATGAGGTTGATTTTCTTATGTGGCTCGTGACTATACAGTCACACCTCATATTTTGTGAACCCATTTCTTTTTTTTAAAGGTATTGAAATGTGAGTGTGGACTCTTATTTGTCCTGTTGTGGGTGAAAAATGAAATGACCAAGGAAACAAAGGTTTGAGCTTCTCAGCATTTTGATTTATTAGGCAATACATATCAATTGCCTAAATTGAGACCAGGCCCCTTCCTCAGCTTAGCACTGGACCCCACATACAGGAAGAGATGGATTTTTGTACATTAAAAACAGTCAAATAAGGCCAGTTAATTAGAAGGAAACAATTAACCAGGATATACCATTAGCTAATCTGATTTCTTATTGGAAGAAAGATTAGGGATTTTCCCAATTGGGAGAGAGAGAGTGAAGAGGTTCAATTCCCTGAAATCAGAAAAAGGTATCCCATCCCCCCCCGCCAAGTGTCTGGGATTGAAGGAACATGGAAATAATAACTGACTGATCAGTATGGGGTCCGTTTTCAGATAAGACATGTGAATTACTTGAGATATATAATTGTGAGAAAACTCCTCGCATCAGTCTTCAGATCTGACTAGGTTTCTGGTCAGCATAACGTAGCTCCTTAGTTAAAGGTCTAAGCAGTAGGTGGGGGGGGGGGGTCTAGCTTCCCAGCCATACAGGACTAGGTTCAAACAATGCAATAAAATTTTCTCACTATTCCCACAATTGAATAAAGTTTTCTCACAGTACAGAAATTGGACTGGACCCATAATTGAATAGAAAGGGAATTGAGCTAGCTCCCGAATTGAGTCACATGGTGGGTTCGGTGTGGTTCACTCCATTCCCACTACCACTTGCTGCTCCAATCTCCTCAATTCCCTCAGTCCTTTTCTGTAAAAGTGGATTTAATACGTCCTGCTATTTTACTGAAAGGACTTCAGGGCTAAGAAATGCAACTATGACCTTCATGACATCTTGTGAGTGGGGAGTTATAAAAGATGGCGATGAAGAGCAAAAAAGGGCAAGTGTGTTAGAGACATGAGAGCATAGTGGATGAGCTAGTTAAGGCTGAGCTGTCATCCGAAAAGAAGTTCAGTAGAATTGGCCTAGGAATTATGTGCCCAGAAAAGAGAGACACAAGTTCAGAAAGAAGAGACACTTGGTCAGAGCTGCCAGCTGGAGTTTAAAGGAAGATAAAACCACTGAGGTAGGGTTCAGATGGTTATAGGGAGAGAAGATTGGATATAGGACAAATAGGAATCATCAAGGAAACACTGTGTGAGTACATTTAGGTTTTAGTTGTTAGATGATGAAAAAGAGAGATAGAAACCTAACAAAACTAAATCGAGTATAGGTAATGAAACTAGGTCTTTGCCTTTCTGTCATATATGCAGTTTGCACCTTGTGCTATGTGTCCATAGCAAAAGAACTCTGTACTCTGGCAAATAGAGTGTGTCCTGTACTGAGGATAGAGTAGAAGGGCACAGAGATAGACACTAAAGGAGAATTGTCACGGTCCCGAGGATTCAAGCAAAAAAGAAAAAACAATCTCCATTTTTGGTTGCAGTGTAGACCCAGATTACTCATAGTGAAAATATGCAGGGAGCCCTTGGATTCAGTGTTACCCTGGGCCCATTTTGTCAGCGTACCTTTAGCTGTTTAAATTTCCCAATACCCAAAGTAAGAGTCGGGGGAGGGGCGGTGCCTGCAAGTACTAAACTGTGTTGAAGGGAAGAAAACAATAATAAAGAACTTGGAAGAGGAGATGCTACGTAAGGCAAGTACATTTCTGAAAGATGTGTACTTAGGTAAAGATAGCGTTGACAATATTAAGGAGTGGACTGAATTGGTTTCCACTGCTGCTTGTCATCTACTCTATGGGTCCTCCTCCTCCATTTTGGTACCAGTTTCTCTCGGAGGTGGAAAGGTGTGGTGGGAAGAGCAGCAGCTTTAGAGGCGAAGGAATTGGGTTCAGATCTCTGCCTTGTCCCTTATCGCTTGTGCAACCATAGGCAAGTCACTTAATCTTCTTGGGTCTTACCTTTTCCATCTGTAAGTTGAGGGGATTGGTCTAGATGGCTGCGAAGGTCCTTTCCAGGTCTGGATCTATGATTCTATTGTTCTCTCTCCCTATTTCTCCCTTCCACTACTCCCACAATTAGATAGATGAGCAGTGTTACTTGATTCAGGTATTATACTCTGACCTTTACTACTAATGCTCTGGATCTTTTCTTCTCCATATGAAGTCATCTAGTCAAGTCAAGAAGCATTTATTAAGCACCTACTATGTGCCGGACAACTTGTTCCCTCAGAGTTCTGCTATGTAGCTAGTTGGGTCTGATCCACCAAATTAAGATTAGGTTGTTAATGGTCGATAATGCCTCCCAGATAACATTTGTATCCAAGGATCTTCATCCATTATTGTGTTTTTCTTGTGATTAAGGTTAACAAAAATAAACAAGTAAAAGAGAAAGGATAAATAGCCCCCTGCCAGCTGCTTCCTTTTCCTGTAGATTCAAAAACCTGTTGGGCAACCTTGTACTGCACTGGGGCTGCCTTCTCTCCCTTTTGTAGTTAACAAAGCATAGCGGGAGATTTTTTTGGTTGAGGCACCAAATTGTCAGTCATGGTCTCATGTTGGTGTTGACTTAAAAAAAAAAAAAAACTCCAAGAACCCAGATTGTCTGAGTATGTAAGAAATGTTCTAGAAAACCTTAAAATCAGCAGAGAAAACTCTTATTTATTCGGTCTTCTATGATAGTATCCATCCCCCTTAGTTTTGACTTGTTCCTTCAGAAAGCTGCTAACATTCACTTTGTGAACAGTCACAGTATGTGAAGCTCTGTTCTTGTGTATGCCTCTGATAGTCTACCTTTTGTGCTTGTGTCTTTTTCTTTCTATCTGCAACCCAAAGGGCAAGACCCCTCAAGACAGAGCCCAGCAGGCTGGGGACCCAGATCTGGCTTCATATCTAGAGAGTCGTCAAAGCTACAAGGTCCTAACCCATGAAGACCTAGAGACTGCAGTTTGACTCAGGTAGAAGGAAGAAGGGAACTCTGGTGAGAATACCGACAATGCCCCTTGGCAATCCGGCAGCTCCTGAGGAAGAAACTGATGGAATCAATGTGTCTATCTTTGTCATGCAAGATATCTATCTGAGGACTGTGCCACCAGTTTCTAAGGGCTACTGAGATGCACCACAGAATACAATAGCCCCCAGGGAATGAGGCAGGATTCATGGAGGTTTGTGGAATATCTGGTCCACAAAATTTGATCCTTATTGCTTCCAGCAAGTAGCATGAACTTCTGTGTTCACCTGTATAATTTATTTTAAAGTCAGAAAGGATGTTCCTATAAATGGCACTGCTCCTCTTCCCCTTCTGCACAGAGCGGCCCCCTACATCCACACAGCCCTACTACTGCTACTATCTGTTGGTTGGTTTTAAATGAAAAGGATGTCTGTTCTCTTAACAGTGAGGCTTCCCAGCTAGTGTGGTTTCTGGAAGGACTTTCAAGGAGCTCTGGATGGCCCACAAAATCATGACTCTGCTTCAGTTTCCTATGAATAATTCATCTAAAATATTTAGTGACTAGGGAGTGTTTTCCCTTTTTTGCATGGGTTCCTCTCTTTCTTTTCCATCTTATGGGAACTGAGAAGTACCTTATGGAAGATGTTAACGGGTGTCAGAATTGAGTCCTGATAAATCTCTGAGCTATAGTGAGGGGGCATGGGAACATGTGCATTTGATTATGAGGTCACTGAACAGGGCTTGAGGTACCTTGCTAAGGCACCCAAAGTGGTAGATTGGGGTTTCTGGTCTCTGCCCATGGCAACAAAGGAATGATTCAGCTTGGGCTTTTTTAATAGCTGAGTACTGCCTATGTGTAGCCATTTTTGCCTTCTGGTGCAATGGAATTGGAGGATGGACGGAACAAAGGCAGTCAGACAATTGGCACAGCTCCCTACTTCTAAGAGCTATGACAAAAAAAAAAAAGCAGACAATCATGAGTTTGGAAACTGTGGGAATAGGGAATGGAATATTGTGGCCGAATTTATTTCCAGACATTTCTGAGAGTAGAGAACAGGCCTGTTTCATGGAGAGGCTTGGCATAAAATACTGAATTTCTAAGAAGACCCATTTAAGCAAAATGGCAGCCACTGGTCTTCCAACCAGTGCTACCCTAACCTACCATCTTGAATTCAGCTGTCTTAGGGAGCCTGCTGCTAGGTGTCTCCTCCAGCTTTTAGGGTTCTTTTAATCACTCTATTCTGAACATATTGTCCCAAAAATGAAAGAACTACAGCCTCTGCACCTTCTACTTCTGTTTTGCTGCCACAATTTGGCAATATCCAAGTTCCTTGACAATTGATTCTCTACCACACTGCATGTCAGGTACTACATCTTTAAATCTCTTGGCTCTGTGTTGGCACCATTAACAACCTCATTTGGCAAGGGAAAAGAAGTGTTTTGCATCCCCTTTTCTTCTTTCTCTTTCCCACAACCTACCACTGAAGAGATCTTAGAAGGAGGGTGCATGGCAGTGTTGCTTTCTTCAGTGGAGTAGGGCTGTTCCATCTCCACCACCTCAGCTCATACTGCACACACAGGTCTCTGTGAGTTTGTACTGACCAGGATCTTAGTGCTCATTAGAGCCTATAAAAATGCCTCTGGCATTAGGGCAAACAATCTTGGCTTTGCTTCTGTACAAGCTGCAGAGATGGAACGTTTATAATTCCTTTACTGGGTGTGCAAAGACTTTGCTATTGCCTAAAAGTGACCCTGTCTTAATCTTCATCCCATCCCCTCTCATTGGACATGAATAAAGTGTTTTCCTAGTGTTTCTGCATGTGAACTTAAATGATCATCTTTCTATTTTTAACTTACAGGTCCAGTGGTGATGCATTGATCCGCTGGTTATTTGAATCACATTTTGATTAAATATCACAATTTTCAAGTACAGATACACTATATAAAATAGGGGTTATCCCAAACTAGTTGGTGATTATAACCTCAGTCTCCCCAGTCACTTCACATTTGCATCATTGACATTATTTCAGTGTGGGAGAAAAAGGCAGGTGGCGAATGATCTATTTCTACATATCAATCTTCAGAAATGGACATTGGGGAGAGGTGGTTGGAGAAACTATAGTAGATTATTTCCAGAAGCTGGAAAAAAAACATGCTCCAGAAGAGTTTAATCCCTGGTGCTTCTTTGCTGGAAAATTTTCAGTTGGTAAGTTTGTCAAGAAGTAGTGATGAAAAATCCAATCCAATCATAAAACCAGTTTTGAATCTGACTTTAGAGGATTCACTTGGCAATGTAGTTGCTCCCATAGCTAGCCATGCTCTGTGTGTGTATGCGTGTGTGTGTGTGTGTCTGTGTGTGTATTTTCATGGCTCTGGTGAGGGGGAAACTTCATTTCTGACCACTGAGGGTCTTGAACTATTCCATGAGTCCCCCCAAACTGCACCTACAGATGTAAAAGGTACAAGTGACTACAGGCAGCCCCAGTTGTGGGAGGAAAAAAGTTCCTATTGTGAGGACTGGATGACACATTGACTACTGGGAGACCCTGGGCCATTTAGAAACTGTTCTCTATGCAAATAAAGGTATGAAGATTCCATCCTGTGTAGTTAAGGAGTTGGTTTTTTTTTTTTTCTAAAAATATACACTGGGACTTAGGCTTTCCAAGCATGCATGTAAGAAAGCCCCAATTTTAATATGACTGAATCATTAAATTAACCTCCAGTGGCACACTTTGATTTATTTCATTGGTATAGGAAGTTCTGCACTGGGAACTTCTACCAATGCAAGTTGACCCCTTCTCTACAATATAGTCTTACATAGATGAATAGAACTGAGAAATTGTGTCACTTGTCTAGAGTTTCATAAACAGTATGCATCAGAGTCAGACCTTGAATTCAGGTCTTCCTTGCTCCAAAACCAGCTCTCTGCTTCACCATGCTGTCTCAAACCTTCCATAGCATTTGTTCATTTGGACAAATGGGTGTGATATAGTACAATCAAACTAACCATTCGAGAATTTACTACTCACTGTCTCAGCATCTGCATTCTCTAGGCTGGTATTTGTGCCAAATATACACGCAAAACTAACTTTAAGTGGAAACCCCAACTAAAGCTTAATTTAAAAGACACACACCAGGGGGCAGCTAGATGGCACAGTAGATAGAGTACCGGCTCTAAAGTCAGGAGAACCTGAGTTCAAATCTAGCCTCAGACTAAACACTTGACACTTACTACCTGTGTGACCCTGTGCAAGTCACTTAACCCCAATTGCCTAAAAATTTTTTAAAAAAGACACTTACCTATGAAATGATATTTTCCCAAAAACGTAGAGACAAGTCTACCAGATGGTTCCATATTCTGGTGGTATCACTTTGTGGTCTGTGTTCTAAGAGCCTTTCCTGTGGTGGCCTTATCAGCTCGTAGTTTCCATTTTTAGCTTGCACTGATGGCGAGTTGAAAAATGGGCTGTCCTTATTCAAACACAACTTTGAAGTGATGTTAGCTATTTTTGCAGCTTATTGCACATTTAAGAAATAGAACCCAATGACACTGTACTTTTTCACATCTCTGGGGACATGATAAAGGACAGAGCTGAGTGAGCAGGCCTGTAAGGAGGAAGTAGATACAACAGGCAGAGTATTTTCAATGGGAAGTTCTATTTACCTACATAAGTGATGAGAAGCCTGGAACAAAAGCCAGCCTTCAAACTGATAGCTTCGCTGGCCACATTGAAACAAATTGAAAATATCATTGCTCTCAAACTTTGCCTGATAACTGGATTTGGTGCTGAGCCAGATCTGTTTGTGTTATGAGAACTTTAGTATGTTGTTCGGATCTGGAAAGGATGACTTTGCCTACAGCATTTCTGAAACTTATTCACGAGAAGCCTTGCATTACCCGTATCTGAGACATATGGAGTTTCAGCCTGTATTGATTTAGAAAATAAATGAAAAGGCCATAATGAAGTCAAGATGTTACTAGTGGTGGATGGCATTGCCTTGGTTATGGCCTCGAAGCCAAACAGCTAAGCTTCTAATATATGTAGTTGAATTAGAGACTAGCATGCTTTTCCATTCAGTTATGACACTTAAAAATATATTAAAAAGACTAATTATAACCATCATATAGCACTACTTTATTTAAATAGATTATTAAAAATTTACAGCAAGATATAGAGAAATACAAACACCCAAGTACAATTTAATACCTTTCTCACCATGTACTAATTGTTCTCTCTTATAGCTTAATCCAACCTTCATTTTCCTCAGGCCCGAGCACAACTAAATCACCCCAAACTCTACTTGAATTTAGAAACTCTTAGGGATTGTCCATTGTTCAAGTGCCTTTGGCTAACTAACTTTTCTTTTCAGGTGGGTTCTCTCCAGAGTGTGATCTTCTTTTCACTCTTTTCAGGTGGGTTCTCTCCAGAGTGTGATCTTCTGTCTATTGTGAGAACCCCAAACAATTGTTTATACCTTAAAATTTAGAGAGTAATGCCTCTTTATCTCATCCCAAAACTATTCCCACTATTTAGCCTATTAATTAAAGCCTATTTATTTATAGGCTATATTTACAGGCTATATTTATAGGCATAAATTTAGCCTATTAATTAAAGGAGGGACAGGCCTAGCTGACCTTTTTGACATCTCTGGTTATAGAGAAGATGCTTACTGTGCTCTCTTACATCTTATCTCACCACATAACAAAGCAGAAAGAGAAGTCAAAGTTATACGATCTAGTGATCCCATGATCATTTTTTCCTAATCACTCATTTTCTAGTCACCCAACTCCTGAGTCTAAGCCCCTACTCTCATATCTATCAAGGTGCTTACCAATAAATATACAGCTAAAGTGTCCCTTGGAAACTATCACTTACAAAGTCAATTTATCTCAGCTCCCTTATGCAGGTTACTTTCTGTTCAAGAACATAAGTTACTAATCAACGCAGAACATAATTTTGAAAACATATCTAAGAAGAACATAACTTTCTAGAGATATAATTTTTCCCTTACAACTTATATCAGTGATGTGATATACACAAAATGTTTTAACATCCAACCAATTGATCAATCAACAAACATTTATTATGTGTTTATGTGCCAGGTAAAAGTTCAAGTGCCATATCTACATATCACCCTCAGTTAAAAGAAAGCAGTTATTTTCAGTATAAAATCAATTTCACTTGCATGCTTAATCTGCATGATTACCTGAGCTATCAGTAATCTCTTATTATAGCTGTGGCTTCCAAAGAAAACTCAGAGGATAGAAAGGACAGTTTCTTCAAGAGAAAACTCCTCATTCTTTTCACTTCCCAAATTAGATGACTCCCTTTGTTTCGAGAGGATGGCTGACTACTAATATGATGAATATTTTTGACTGTAATTATGCATGAAGTAGAAAAAAGATACGACAATTCTATATTTAATGCAGTTCCTGGCACATAGTAGGTACTTACTAAATGTTGATTGAATTGAATTTAATTGAGTATTCCACAGCTTCAAATTAAATCAAACCTATTTATGTGAGTATGAAACAATCAACTTGTATTTGTCAAATGCCTAATATATGTTACAGCACTTTACTCAGTGCTTTGGATGAACCAGAACAAGTAGAAGAGCTGATCCCTGTCCCTGGGAGTTAGTTGGAGAGATTTTTCTACACGTGAAAGTTAGCAGTTATAATCATCATAGGACAAACAAAGCTTTTCCTACAGATGCAACAGCATAATTCCTACCAAAAGTGAATGATTTTCCTGTGTCTTGCATCAGTGGGGCATGGTATAGCTGAACCTGGGTGCCATCTGCCATCATCTCATCACCATGGTGCTGCTCTCCCAGGCAGCAGCCGTGCCTCCCTGGAAAGACTGCACCCTTAGTGAGACTACCCTTCCATGTCCTCTAAGCCACAGTACTCCTTAACCCATGTCCCTCTTTGTCCTCTAGTATGTCCGAGGTGAGACTTAAACCCAAGTCTTCCTGGCTCCGAGACTAACTCTTATCCGCTATGCCATACTACCTCTCTAAGACTGCCATCTATACTACAAATGTCAAAAGGAGAGGAAGAACACAAAGGCTGTGGTAGCGAGGGAAGGGACTGGTCATTGTGCTATTTCATAATAAGTGAGATAGAACTAAATTACTTTGTGGTCTTTCGTGCTAAACAGAGAATAGATTTGGCAAAATATGAACTAGGGAGCTCTTGAATGTTTCTGTTCAGTAAATCAGTATGCAAGCTGAGTGGGAATGGGACATGATTCATACTGGGGAAACCACCTAGAAGTAGTACAAGAATGAGCTAATGAGGTCCTGGACTGAGGTATTGGGAATGGAGAGAGGCATTGGGAATGGAGAGGAAGAGATGGATATGAGATAGCTTTCAAAGGAGAAATCAGTAGTATTCATTGACTAACCTTAAGAGGATGGAGAAAATAGTAAGTCAAAGATGATTCTCCAAGGATTCAATTCTAGGTCCATGGGATTCTAGTTGCGCCACTAACAGGTGAGAGAGAGAGAGAGAGAGAGAGAGAGAGAGAGAGAGAGAGAGAGATTTGGAGGAGAACTCAGTTTCGAGAAATGAGTGTTTTAGGGAACTTTATAAGTTTAATTGTAAGCATGCTCAGTTTATGACAACAAGATACCCAAGTATAAATGTCTCATAAGCAGCTGAAGATAAGGGATTGGAGTTTGAGTAAGGGGAAAGCCTAGAGATATGGAATTGGAAGGAATCAGCATAAAGGTTAAAACCATGGAAGAGTATATATACTTATACATATCCATATGTG